ATCTAGATGTATAGTATTGCTATGATATTGTCTGAGGCACTACTTACATATATTAATGATTGTTTGTCAAATTCATATTTTTTTATGTCATAGCTCGGCAAACGAACAAACGGATTACCTGATGGTAAGCAATCAGCGCCGCCCATGGACACCCGCAACGACGGAGGAGTTACGAGTGCGTTGCCGACTTTTTGGGGATTAGGGATTTGGAGATTTTGAAAATTTTTGGCTAAATTGTCTTAAGTTTAAAGTAGGTATATATCGTAGGAATAGGCGTCTTCACCGTCATTTATTCGGATCGATTCCAGATTGCAATTTGTATCTATAGGTACTAATTTTCATCAAAATCTATTCAGTAGTTTTTAGGCAAAATAGTGACAAAAATCCATCCACACATATAAACTTTCGCGTTTCTAATAAAGCAAGCAGTTACATAACAAATTGTCAAAACAAATACATATCTAATATGTTCGAATATAAATAAATATAACAACAATATAACATTCAACCGTTTTCAATAAAAAATGAACATTATTATTATTGAGCTTAAGTCTCAAATAGATTTTTTACATCGATGTGCGTAAGATATTTTATTTACATTCTAAACAAGTTACTTCTATACAAATGTAAATCATTAATTTCTATGGCAACGGAAATATAAAAACACGGATAATACTAAGTTAGACGCGTGACTGTTAACAATGGAAGTTGGATTTGCCAACCCTTTGATTCAATACACTAATGAATAGAAGACACGAACAACTAAGATTCAACCTTAACTCTTAGATTAGAGAGTTTGAATTAGAATGTTGATAGATATTAATGCATATTATTATTAAGATTATTTTATGGATGAGCAATTTTTATGATTGTTCAGTCATTGTGCAGTAGGTGAGTATTGCACAGATGTTGAATTATTATTTGGTTAGACGTAAAATCTTTGGCTGCCACCAATGGCACGAACATATTCATTTGTTTTTTTTTATTTCGAACTGATTATTCAATGGTTAGATAAAAGTTATATGCGAAATAATTATGATGCTGTTGCGTCGGAATGTTTGTATAAGACAGTGACAGCAACAATTTTATTCCTCAGATAACATTTATGTACCTATTGGCTATTAAAAAATCAGTTATTCAATGAATAAGTTATATTTAAGTAGTAAAATGTTTTCTAAAATAACTCTGAACATTAATTGAAGCGAATAAAAAATGTATAACCACATAACAAATCCTACCTATTATGTATAGGTAGGATAGATAGATATATTTTAACAACGAATTGCAATTCAATGACTGCTAAAATAACCGTTTCACTGACATAAACAATTATTTTGTCTCAGCATTTCTTCGACAACTTAACGATACAAAAGTCGAGTCGATAAATAATTTTCTCTACTTAACCTTTTAATTAATTGCATGCCGTCATCAACTGTCAATCCAACAGTAAACCAAAAACACACAGTTTAAAATTGACATTTAATATAAAACTGAAATAATTATCCACATTTTACAAACGTGTGGTCAGCGGCGATCACGCGGGATTGGCAGGGAACGCCAACGATGGGGTGACCATGCACGCTCAATGTGTTTGGGACAATGCGTGTTGATTTACTTTGTGGGATCAATTGAGTAATGACACTGGATCGTTTTGAGCGCTTAAATATCTATCTTTAACCAAAAATGTAGTGCTAATCTCAAGAATGGCTTGACTAATTCGATGAATTTGAATTATTTGTACCTTTTTGTATATATATCAATAAAAAGAAAGAAATAAAGAATTATGTTTATAAAAATAGTTAAAAAATGATACTAGAATGTAATGATAATTGCTAATATACGTCAACTGCACTAACCAAGGTCAAATCCCAATAAAATATTTACTAGCTCGAAGCTAAATTGATCAACGTACAAATCCTAACTTAAATACTAAAACACCACCAAATTCATGCAAATAACTTTAGCGTAAACAAAAAACGAACGTGTATAAATTGAAAATAAATACCAAATTGCAATTTCCAATAAGCCAAAATCATGGGCTCTGCGCGCATCGAAAATGAAAGTGGCCGCCCGAAAACGCAGTGGACATTCATTGATGTATGTATCTCTTCATCTATTATTATATTTACGAATGCGTTTATGCCTGGCCTCGGTGAAAGCGAAACTGTTTTCAATTGTTATCCCTCTCACCGCTTAATTGACCGATATTTGTAAAAGCCACTAGTTAATTTGCGTTTTCAACGATACACTAGCGGCTTTCGCGTAGGAATGTTTTTGCGGTGCTATAGTTTTGACAGGATGGTTTCTGGAACTGTAGCGTGGGTAACATTTTCATATGTTGGTAGTATAAAATGTGGATTACTTTTTGGTTACTTGAACAAATATAGTAAAGGGAGGCCTATATATGTCTAATAGTGGACGTCTTCCAGCTGATGATGATAATGATGGTGATGTTTAAAGATCCATCTTTGATAGTAGGTACTCTTTCTTCTTTGAGCTTTGAAACAAAAACTAGGTTAAGGTTTGATATTGGCATTGAGAAATTTCAAGAGTTTTCAATGCAACCATACTTAATTCACGTTGTAGCCATACCAAGATTCTGGGGATTTGACTGATAATCTTTTAATTAACTTGAGCTTAAATTCCTTGTAAATAACAATATTTTGAACCATTTGCCACAAAGATTAGTTTAGCGAAAATAAATACACATAACTAACAATATTATAACACACACACACACACACACAAAAACCATCCGTTTGATTATCCCTTACCAAAAAGCTACCAAAAATTATCTTCGATCTAAAGCAAATGCCCTATTTATCATATTATATTGAAACGCGTTTGCATCGTCAAATACTACCTGTGGGCGAGTGTTTATAAACATACACCCACATGTTATATTTGCACTGAAATATTTAGGTGGGTTGGCTCATTGAGTCATGAACAAACACGAAGAGACTAGATACTATCCTTCTTAAAACGAAGAACTTGTTAGACATTAGGTATTTTCCCTATGCAGCTAAATACTGCTTATTTTAGCTTAAAGTTCCTGTATGATGTCAACATATAAGTGTCGCGGTGGCCCGGAGGTTAAGGAGCCCGCTTCTCATGCATGAGGGTGTGGGTTCGAAACCTGGCAAGTACCAATGTGACTTTTTCCGAGTCATATGTACTTTCTATGATTATTTAGACACCACTGACAAACGGTGAAGGTAAACATCGTGAGGAAACCTGGACTTATAATTTCTAATTATAAGTTTGAAATCGCCAACCCGCATTGAGCAAAGCGTGGTGATTAACGCTCTAACCTTCTCCGTATGATAAGAGACCTTTGCTCAGCAGTGGGCACTTATAGGCTGATGATGATGATGATGATGTCAACACTAGCTACACTCGCGCTGTTTCGTCCCTTGCTCGGCTCCATTTAATCGTATCGCGATGTGTTACCTCATAGCCTTCTTCGATAAAATTAAATGGCCAAACGAATACAAAAACAATCATTCGATACGAACCAGTATTTCCAGAGATTAGAGCTACCAAACAAATAAAGTCTACTCTAAATAGAATGTCTTAACGACATCAACATTCTCATTTCAAAATCCGAATTAACAATAAAACAAACAAAACCGTTAAAGTTTAAGACATGTCCTGAAAACAGCAAACATCATCGTCACCGCAGCTCAAACTTTTTACTGTTCATCCCCTAATCTTGTTTGCATTCTAAACAGGTCGCTTTTATTGCAGCACAGCATAACATAATCGCCTACAGTGTAATAAACACACAATTTCAACGTTGTATAGAAGTATTCTATTGTGGTGTTTAAATATCCTTTTTGATGGTTGGTGGTGTATTGTTTGTCTAATGTCCAAACTCCTTCAGTTCTTAAAAGATCTTTATGGATGGAAAGACTACTAAAGTCTTCTGTTGAAATTTGTATGAGAACTATTTGCTTCCTAAACTTTTCCTTTTGAAAGGATAATACTATATGTATAAAGTACTTGGAATACACCTACAATTACCTATATTAGAACTGCGATTATAGTTATAATGAAACTGTCAATTGGTATCTCAGAACTATAGGAAAAATTTTATCCAATCGACTATTGGTTTCCAACTTACCCATTTCATTTGGTGGCTAAAATTGTAATCGCTATTACAACCTCTACCTCTGCAACCTATCCCAAATACTAAACACAACCAGCATCTATAACGTCTTCATTTAAAAAAAAACCCTGCCATCTTCTGGATTTTTTCTTGTGCCGTGGGTCCGTGGGTGCGTTTACAAACATATATCATTGCGTTTAGAAACAATAAATTTGTGGATCACACAAAGAGTTGTTCCGTGCGGGATCGACATCGAAGTAATTACAAGATCACTTACTGGAACTTCTTTACGTTCCAATCCTTTGTCATTTCAGACTATAATTTCCAAACACCCATAAGTAACTTCAAACGAGACATGTCCAAGTTTAACAATAGTATAACTCTTTAGCAGTCTACCACCGTGCTTAATATCAACACCATCGTGAATTTACGCGCTTTGTCATCTGTAAATAACACATTAGAGGAAATTTTACGCGTTCTCTACATTTCCTTGACCATTACGATTGTTCTTCTGATGTGTTCGTAATAAAAGCCCTGTTTCTATGCTGCTATTAATATTTAGTTCAAAGGACTTGTCGACGCTTCATTTTATACTATTATTGTTACTCGTAGGCGATTATGGTGATTTTTTGTATTTGTGTGTGTCGTCGAATTGTTGTTTTGTATTGTTTTAATTTTAGCTGTGACTGGTCAAAATTGGTATCAGTCTATTTTACGATTTTTGAATCATTCGAAAATGTACTTAAAATTTTAATGAGGAATTTCCCATTTATGATCTGTTTTGATAGTATAATTAATTTTACTAATTCGAAAATCAAATATGAATATTTAAAAAAAGAAGCTGATACATTCCAATTTTTTTGTTTCGTTCTCAGATCGACATGGATATAACGGGGACTTAGAGTCGAAATATAACATGTACAATTGTGCATACCCGTCAAAAGATACCTGGATGCTTACAGCTCTGTTTACCCACTTCAATCAAAACCGTGAGTATTTTCTATAGTTCCATGAATATATCCATGTTGATCTGAATAGAAAGAATTGTAAAATATTTAAAATAACCTGTGCCTTTATAAAATGATGATAGAATGATACCAAGGTAAAAAGTGACCTATGTTGTACTCTAGATTATAATCTATCTCTGTCAAATTTTATTCAGTTCAGTTTAGTAGTTTTATAGTAAAATAGTTACAACCAAGTCCATTCATATACATTCACGCGTTTTTAATATTAAGTAGGATAGGCGTTACCAAACGTCATCTACGTAGAGATATGAAAATTCATTAAAATCGATTCAGCGATTTAGGTATGAAAGCGTAACTAAACAACGTACAAAATCAATTTAGGCATAATTCTATTAATTGTTGTTGATGACGTAGAAAAAGTTCATTCCTCTTTCCTCTTACTTATCTCTGAGTCAACGTTTTAAGTACCAACCTCACAACAGTTTCTTCAATTTTCATCTCTAAAGACAACATAAAAATTAATTACAAATAATATGACAACGAGAAAACCAAATAGAAATAATAAAAAATTAAAATAGCTTGCTAAACTCGATAAGTGACAAATAGTGTGAGAAGAGTTTAATAAAGTAACAAATATACTATTAAAATTAAAACTTTCGATCGCTTTTCGTCTTATCGATCGCTTTTCGTCTTATCGATCGCCTGGGGCAAGAAAGACAATAAACGACAGATATTTAAACATTTGGCGTTTGTCGACAAAATGCTGGCGAAATATAGTAGATACATTTTCTTTAAAGTTTTTGCATAAGTAATAAGTATACAAACAGAAATATCTTTTCTCATATTATCATTTAGGTTGGAAGATACTGTCTACTTTTAAGCCAATCCCTATCTTACTCTATTCAAGGAACGTCCTGCCGAATTTTCGCCAGACTCGATATTACTATTCCATATTAATCATTTAAACATAGGTAATATTCTTATTATAAATGTAAAAAAAAATGAAGTATGGATTGATGTTTTTTAATATTCCATAAGATATCTATGGAAAAGATCAGAATGTAGGGTAGAGATAGATAATAATCTGGATGTAAGTCCATAAACTATTTTTACCCTGGCGTTGCGGGCGAAGCTCAAAGCCCAAGGGTTAATAATAAACCAAATTATTTCAATAGAGCAGACATCTTTGTATTATTTTATAAAACTCTTGTGTAATAAGATGCAACACAGAATTACGTAAAACCCACCATAGCCGGAGGTGTGTACTCACCTCAGAGGGCCCTTGTCCCTCTTGACGCGACAATGGCACTCCACCATCATTCCTCTCGCGTGAGCACCGATCACTTATTATTTCCTTATTATTATTGCTACGCTCACACCATTGTTTGACATTTTCATTTTACCTTGTTAGAGTTCATTATAATTTGGGGTCGTGTACGATGTATAAAATATGTTTAAGTAGGTATGTATAAAGTGTTTCGATGTCGAGAGGGGCTACTAGTTGTTAAGCTCAAGGTCTTCATTTCAATTTTTGATTCCATATGTATATTCGGGTTATCCTACAAAATTTAATTGTCTTTATAATTTTCAAAGTGTCACTTTTAAATCAATTCTAGCTCAATGTGCCTGAAAAACTTTAGTACATTTAGCAAGACGCGGATCATCGCTTTCCATCAGGTGAGATAGCGGTCAAGTGCGAACTGATAATCAATAAAAAAAAAACGTCAAAGTAGAAACCTTTTAACTTGACATTGGCTTTTTAGCCAATGACCAATGAAACCAAATGAATGATGAACCAAAAAACGTCCTAATTAAGTATATTTGGTTTGTCAGTTACAGCTTGCATAGCGAACAAAATGTAATTTCTAAAACCACAAATTAGTTTCCAAACCTCGATTTAAGTTCAAACGTAACGGTCTTTTGTCATTTCTGTCACAATTTAAAGACATTTTAAAAAGCAGTGTAACACCATACTCCACCTGCAAACAAACGGACCTCATTAACCAATCACACCGCAGCATATGTCAAAATTAGACAATCCCAACAAGGTAGGGGTCTGGCTCTAATAACAATGTCATTGGCAATATGCACCCGTAATATCGGATAGACAGTTATTGGCATTTTGTAATAGTGTCTTGTAAATTGTGGTTGGCATCTGTAATTTATTGACTTCCTGATTAGATATCAACCTTTTTGGTGAAAAAGAATTTTTCAAAATCAGTTACTTAGACCCAATCCCCAAATCTCCACAAATGGTCAGCAACGCACTCGAAACTCCTACGTTGTTGCGGGTGTCCATGAGTGGCGCTGATTGCTTACCATCAGGTAATCCAAAAGCTCGTTTGCCATCCTATCACATAAAACACCTAATGTTTTGTTTGTGAATGCAAGAGCAATGATGTACCCTATCCCAGTTTGGAGTAGGAAGAGGGACGGGTGCGTTTTTAGATAGTAATTATCTAAAACTATCAGGGCAGTAGAAGGTATTGGATGATTCTCCAACTTTGATTAAAGGGTCCAGTATTGCTTTTCATAACTTGTATGCCTTATTTGTGTAGTAATTGCAAGCTTACCTTCTGGGTAAGTCTGCGATGTGATTCCCAATAATAAGTTGGTCTCCTATAACCTGGAACTTATTACAAAAATGGCCAATAGTGGATGTTAAATTTTGATATGTATGTAGGTATTCGCCAGCTTACTTTTTTACCTATTTTTCCATTAATTTAGTACTAGATATGTACTATATCATGAAATTGGAATTGATTTTGTCACAAAACTTAACTGGTGAAAACTGGACTGCAGTTAATACTTACCTACTCACAATCCTACCATTTACATCAAATATGCCGATGGAATTAATTATCATCAAATCGATCACTAAGTTAATATCTTAGAACTGTTTGACGTTGAGAAAGTTCAAATAGATTAGTCCAATAGTACAGGTACTATCTCGTGTACTGGTCGGATCTGAAAGCTTTACTGCTATTCTACTTTGTTATTCCGATTGCGCTGTGTCAGCCCATCTTGGAAGAGGATTATTGTTATTTATCGACCAGAACTTTATAATATTACATTTGCAGATATATGCAGGAATGTTTGTTTACTCGACTTGCGCATTCAGGAATTATGTCGAGTGTCCCTCCCCTCTCAAATATCCATCGAAAAATGAATTTATAATTTCTTTCGCACAGGTACATCAATTTACCTGTGCCTATGTTTGAATATTTCAGAGTGGGTTAAATAAAATCCAATTTCGCATATTCATACCGAAACAAAAAAAAATCATAAGTGACTTTCCGAATAAACCCTCGTTAGAATTAGAAATCAACCGTCACTGGCCGAAAAAAAAACAATAATTATAAAGCGCGCGTAATTCTAATTCCGAATTCAAATTAAAGCCGCTTAATGCGCGGCAGCGACCCCGTTAAAAAAAAAGAGTTGACGAGTGCTCGGAGGGTGGTAATTTTTCATTAATTTAAGTTCACCATTCCCTGTTTTGTTTGCTTTTAATCGCATTTCTAATTAATCCCGTCGAGAATAACGTGACAACTGTCGACTATGGCAGCCATTTTTTCGAGCCGAGTATAGCAGATGTCGGCCGATTTCCATTTGTTTCTGAGATTAATGATTCGGTACGATTGTGAATTTTTCCGGTCGGCTTTTGTTGTTTTAGAAGCAATTTGTCCGCTTACTTTTGTAGAGAGGCAGTCGTTAAAGCCTCCACAAATGATATTGGAACGGAATAAAAAAGTTGCGACAAAAAGGGTTTCACGTATTCGATTCCAGTTAGGTACATGTCAACGGACACTGGTTGATAAAAAAGAATTAACTGGAACATTCAAATTAATATTAAGTCTTTGCTCTGTTATCTTAGAATCGCTAATCAGAAGTGAATTGTGTTATAAATACTGGTATCTTCTTCATTATGCTCTAAAATGTGCCTTCCGATATGTAACAATTACAGAATAAAATAATCAATTATTTTTGCAATTGCTAAAAATCTGCGTCATAAAATCCTCCATATTGATGTTAACGGGGAAAATGCCCTGAAGTGCGGCAATACTTACAATCTGTTAAGGCGTTTGGAGATGTGTTTAAATAAGCTATGTGCACTCGGGCTATGCGGGCCTAAAGTCTCGAAAATACCAGTATAATATTAATAGCAAAACAAATTAATAGTAAAAAAATCTTCATAACAAGAATATCAAAAACCAATATCGAAATTATTGAATCACCCATCAAAACAGAACACTCAAAATATTGACCAAAAAGTATTGCTTTTAACAAAAATAGTTTCATTTCCAGTCAGTCCCTACGGAACTGTACTCAATAATTCAAGATCTCACGCCCGTTTATACCACATACCAATGACACCTCGTATTAAAAACCTACCATCCGTAACTGACTGCAACTAGTCGTAGGTCGTGATGTTATTTCTACTTAGTATACACCCGTGGTTGGTATTAAATATTGACTGAATTGAACTGTCTGTCTGTACTTTAATGGCATTGCCTAAATAAAAGAAGTGTTAATACTGTCTCAAAGATAATTACAATATAAGACCTTCTTACCACGGAACCTTAACAAGTTTGGAAGAATGAATTCTTAATCTTTAGTTTTGACTGTAAGTTAAAAACTTACTAATTTTTGGGACCGATTTTTCCGTAGTTAAATAAAAGTTATCTGGGAAAAAATTATGATGCTGTCGCGTCAGAAGGTTTGTATAAGACATGACAGCAACAATTTTATTCCTCAGATAACATTTATCAAACTACTCAAAAATCAGAATTACTCTATATACTATAAATAGAGCCCAAAGCTAAACAAAACAAAATCGAAGACGTTCTATACACGCCTATTATAAGCTTCATTTCCAAATTAAGTTTTCGTAGTTACACGAGATTTGTAGAAATAGTTTGCATTAAAAATTCTGTGCTTAAACCCCTCTCAATAAAGACGATACGCGAAGACAAAGCTACGCAAACAATTAATAGCTTACTGTAAATTAAAAACGAAGAAAG